TGCCTCTAACCTGACATTCTCTAGGGAAAATGAGAAAGGGTGATGGTTAAGAGTAAACGGGCCCTGGCTGGTGTGGCTCAGTTGGTTGAGTGTTGTCCCAGTCACTGGTTCGATTTCCAGTCAGAGCACATACCCAGGTTGCAGGTTTGATCCCAGGTTGGGGTGCATATGGGAGGCAACCAATTGATGTTTCTCCTCACACAGATGTCTCTCTCTCCACTCCCTTCCTCTCTCTCTAAAATCAATTAAAAAAAAAAAAAAGAGTAAAAGGGAAGTTTAGTCTTTGTGGAGGTGACAGAAGTGATTAAAAAGACAAAGAGCCCTGGCCAGTTTGGCACAGTGGTTAAGAGCGTGAGCCTGAGGACTGAAGGGTCAAGGGTTTGATTCAGGTCAAGGGCACGGTACCTCCGTTGCAGGCTCCATCACCGGTCCCAGCATGTGGGAAGCAACCAGCGGATATGTCTCTCCCTCTCCTTTGCGCTCGCTCTAAAAAGTCAATGGAAAAAATATCCCCGATGAGGATTAACAACAACAATAAAAGACAAAGAAAGGGGTTCGTTTTCCCTTAGGAACTAGGAGTCTTTAGAGTTCTTAAATGTTTGTTAGGCCAGAGGTTAAAGAAAAATGTAACCAGTTCCTTGTCTCTGACCGGTAACCAAGTACTGAGGGGGCTTCACTCCCTGAAAGCTTTGCCTTTGCTACTCACCCACATCCAGTAAAGCAAACAAGTCACCACTTTGTTTCCTATTGGCACTGGGATGGAAGAGGGTGGGGAAGGAACAGGTAAAGATGATCTAACTTGCAACACTGCTAGGCTTAGCCCTAACTTTGCTGTTCCTCCTGGACCTGCCCTTTTTCTCCCCTGTACCCCACAAGTGTTTGCACCATTTTCAAGACAGGAGTTTACAAGATTCTTTCCTTCCTTTCACCCAGGAGCTGAGAAAGAAGAATCAGGGAGCAGATTTTTATCAGAATACCAGGCTATTGGGTGAAAGGTCGTAAACAACTCTGTCCAGGAGGGTTGCATTTCAGAACATGCCTTGGCCGCAGGCCTGGTTAGCAGCTGCTGCCAAAGCAAAATAGTTTTTTGGCATTTAAGGGAACCCAGGCATTACACAGAGCAAACAAGTGGTCTGTACTGAGTTCTGCAAAATGGGAAAGAAAGAAACTGGAACCCAAAAGAGAAACTTAGAGCAAGAAAGAATCATATTAAATTTTTTAAAACTAAAAAATTCAATACTTCATAGATATGCCCAAGTAAGTATCAGCATTCCCTTTTTCTAAGATGTCCCAAATCAACACCACCCTGATCTATTAATACTCACTTCTCCCCTTCCCTCAAAATTAACCTAGTTACACATCACACACTGTTTAACAATACTGACTCATGTATTTCTTTGCATTTTGATGTTTCACTCTGTGTACACTTTCATACCCATCCAACTGAAAATTCTCCCAGAAGCCATAATTTTGAATTTTAAAAATTACTTTTTAGTGAAAGTCCCACCTTCTCAGCTCCAGATAATTCAATGAATATTGTTGACTTATCCAAAACAACTCAGGACTCATGGGTTAACTTTCTAGAACAGGGAGTCACCTCAAATTCATACACCCTAAGGATCAACATGTTCCCTTTTTTTGTCTGTGGGAGTTAATGCTGTGTGTGTGTGTGTTTCCAACAGTCTTGATGCCCGATTCTTGGGCTTGCTTAATACTAGGGTTGAGTTATAACTTGTTAGCCTTAGGATGTCAACCCAGGCAGGGGGTATGAGGAAGAAGAATTCTTAACAGCAGTGAACAGCCACCTTTTTGCTGACAGGGAAGGATTTCTGTATATTCTAGTGCTTCTTACTTACTTCCCCATCCTGAGCTCTGGGGACATTATCTTTTCCTCTTTTCAGCACAAGAAACAAGGTAATAATCTCCTGATGCCCCAAAACAGAAACAGGAGGGGCTCAAAATCAAAGAAAAGGGGTAAGAATCCCTGTAACTCTGCATACAGATACTTCTTACCCCACTTATGAATAAGGCCTCAGGAGTCAGCCCCTAAGGCATTTCATGACCAGCGAGGGGAAGACTCATCTGACCGAGAGCCAAATGACAACGCAGGATGGAGTCAGGGTCTCCTTTAGCCTGACATACCCTGTTCTGATGACCTGTCTTCTCTTTCCTTTTTTACCAATTTCTAAACAGGTTAGGAAAAGCTTCTTAAAAGAGAGAAATTCTCCCTTCAAACAGGAATATGACCCTCTTGTCCACTAACACTTTGGTTATAAACAAGAGAGCTTTCCTGTTTGTTTTTTTTTAATTTTTACTTATTCATTAGAGAGAGCTCTGTTGTCCCGCTTCTCTGTGCGCTCGCTGGTTAACTCCCGCACGTGCCCCGGCGGGGATCCCATCGAGCCCGCACCGCGGTGGCGCCGGGGCAGCGCTCCGACC